AATAAATTTAATATGGTTACTTATTTGTAACAAAAGTAACACAAGAACTAGTACGACAATTCAAAGTTATAAATATGTATGTCATAAGAATTAAGTAATCATTATTACCCACGCAATGTAGTAAAGCTTAAAAAATAATGGTAATAATAAATCTTAATTACCCACCATAAAGACAACTTTTGGCTACAGCTGAATTAACAGAAAACAAAAATAAAAATATGAACATATAACAATTAATAATTATACCTTTCTTCATAATTCTACAGAGATATAAATCTGTTATATATTATTTATGTACGAGAGATGGTAATCGTTGAGATGAAACTGGCCTTATTTACATAAATATATTCTGACCATCTTGGTACATTATGATCAGGTCCTAACGACGAAGGTTCTTTCACATAATATGCTGTATTACCTTTACAGATGTTGCCAGATCTAGAGAAAAATCATACAGAATACTTGTTACGTGTAGAACTCGGGTAAATAAATATGTAATATTTAAAAAAATATTCGCTTTACAAATAAGATTGTTAAAGAATATAGTACCTCTAAAAATAAAATTGTTACAATATTGTAAAGTGCTTGATGTCTATGATAAGGTTAAATTAGCTATAGTAACTGAAAACCAAGAAAAAATATTACATATAGTAAGAAAAATGATGGCATCTAGTCTACGTACATTTCATTTACCGAAATATAACAATGTGTCTGGGAAAAGAATCTTGGCATAGATACTTGCCGAGGTATTGAATGAACTACCGACAAATATTGTGGAAAAGATCACAAATGAAAGTAACAATCAACCGAAAATAATTGTAAAACGTTATCTTATTCTAGATCAACATAGAACTCGGGATGATGTCCGCTCAGTAAGTTGCGTTATAATATGCGTTAATGTAATTAGATTTACAATTATTACGTAAAAACAAATTGTAATACATGTTGGTTAAGGTGAGAAGCTAACTAAAGTGCTAAAATCCTATGGTAAAGATTATAGAAATAAACAGTTTAAATTTTAAAAAAATAAACGGGTTACCTATGAGAAGTCCGAAATGACATTTTCCAGAAATTTTTGCTCGAATTTTCATAACTTCGAAAGAACCTAACCTAACTGAACCTAAACGTGTCTTCGCGCTAAACATCCTACAAATCTTAAAAGAACAACGGTTTCATTATAATTCGGTTTTCGGGGTAATGAAAATTCGAACAAACGTTCTTTTGGAAAAAATAATTCTAATTTCTGATAGATTACCCTCTTCACGCCTCGTTTGAGGGATACTATATCGTAAGACGGAGGGAATACACGCCCTGGAAGGGAGTTCCATTTCTCAACTGTGCGACAGAGGAAGGTGCCACCAAACCTTTTAGTTGTCGATGAAATACGGCTAGTTGTAAAATTGTGAATACGGAGGCCAGCACGCATGCTTCGAAGCAGGAAAGGGGAGAGCGGGATAAGGTTGAACAGTTCTTTCTGAGTCCTCTGGCACTCGATATGTTACATCCGATAAAAAGCGCTAAGTGATGCAACATCTCTACGCAGTTGTAGCGGTACAAGGTGTGATGAGACCTCTTAATCGCAAATGACTCGTGAGGTGGGACGCTGCTAACTGTCCTTGAAGAAAAAAGAAGGTACTTGATAGACCCAGAGATGCAAACAATACTCAACGCAAGACCTAACCTGTGTTTTACACTAGACTATGGTAATATTCATTATTTTAACTACTTATTTGTCTCCATGTGTAGACGGTCTTCTTTGTCAATGAGTGCTTGTTTGTCGGTATGTCAAATATTTGTACAAGTACAACAAATATATATATATATATGCTAGAAGTGCTATCATGAAATATAGATGTTTTGAATTAAAATTGCCGATTATTCGATACGCAAGAGCTTTAAGTCCTGTCATCGATTCAGTTATAATTTTTAAAAGAATTAAACAAAATAATCGCATAATTTAATGTACCCATTAACCAAAACGACCCTACTAACATTAAATTAAAGTTTAATCTTACTTAAACTGAGTTAGTAATGGTCGTGATCTTCATATTTAAAGGGTATCGTGGTGAAGTTATTTTTCGTTATTAATAACGGACGAAGAGATCTTCGTTAGCGGCGGCGGTTATGGCAATTTCTTTAATTATTGCACCTAAATTTATGAAAAGAGAAATAAAATATATTTATTATACAAGATTATTTGTAAAAGATTAACAACCTCGTAGGAGTATTTAATAATAAACAACAACTTTTGTTGTCAGTATTCTACAAGAGCTAAAGAAGTCACTACCATGGGTTGTCATCCAAGTACGCAGAAGCTTTGTAATAGTTTTATACTCTTTAGTATAAAGTTTTTGTATCACTGTAGTGAATATTTTTGAACTTCGAGAATGGCAAATTTTCAATGTCAACTGGAATTTTATTACACCAGCATATACATTGACTGCCAAGAACTGCTAGTTTGTTTTTATTCCTCGTATTAAAGTTACCTCCGTCATTATTAAAAAGAAATTCTTCGTAACCTAAATAACATTTTAAACAGACTTCATAAAAAGGAGGAGAGAACCTCCTCCTTCTAATTCGACTGTATGATTTTTTTTGTGAACCGATGACGATGAATCTTTTTTTTTTTTGAAAGAGGGTACCTCACTAGTGGTCCCATTGGAAGAAAATATTCACACTGGCTTTGAAGATCCATTACCATTACCAATGATAATATGCACAGCACACAAATCTCAGTAGTAATAGAGCTCCAAGTGACAAAAGTTTGTCCAGGAAAGTACTGCCACGTAATAATGTAAGGGTGCTGGTGAAATTACAAGCACAAGGGGCTATTCAACTTATGTCTCAGGGTGAAGGGCGCTTTTGCGATTGAAAGCTCTGAGCTGGACTGTAACTGTTATGAACAGGCGTGTCGCTTGCCACCAGGTCCCATCACTTGATATCAAAAAAACGCACACTAATTTCATCTAGTCACGTATTTTTTATCCTCTTTTGTTTTAAAAAAACATTGGCATAAAAGGTAACAAATAATTAAGAAACTCAAAATAATATACTTAAATTAAAAATTAATTCGTCTAAAAACAGTAACTACAACAACCCGCCATTTTGTTCTTCCAGCACAATAAGGTTGATTACAACCTCTATTTGTATCTAATGCCGAATTTTTTTTTTGTTTCGAAACTGGTGCAACAATTTAAAATGTGCCAGTGCGTTACGCGTCTACGCGTTGAATAATTTTAATCGATACATTGGGCATTAATCGGTACACAGATCAATTTATCGCGTGTGCAACCAATAACATGCACCGTGGTCCTCGAGATTAACAACTAAATGACTGATTGGAAAATGGTCGATCTCGGTCACGGCATATTAATATCAAATTGGGTTTCTGAGGCGTTTTTCAGTATACACTCAGTTCGTGTCGATAAGAGCAACATTGTTGCAGCGTGCATTCCGGATCTTATGGAATATTCAGTAATGTAATTTTATTTTGTTACCTGATCACCTTTTCGCTGTGCTGTTTATTTTGTGCCTAATTTCTCGTAGATATATATTTATAAAACGTGTTTAGCTTTTATATACATTTTTTAAAATTCACGAATTTTAGCTTATGTCATTTGTAAAATAACCAATTGCTTTTAAAAAAAATCAATAATATCAAATTTTTAGCTTTTCGCAAATGTGACATATAGGAACGGCTGAATGAGATGGTAATGTTTTGAACCATTCATGTCTAATATTAATGCAAACCCCTTCATTTTTCACTATAGTTACAAAAGTTATTAATAAACACTTTGAATACCTTATTTTTAATTTCCAAAAAACATACCAATTTATATAGGATATGAAACTATTTTTTCGGATTTAAATCCAATTTATAATTCAGCCGTGATTCAATTTAACCTGTATACGGCCCAAAAAGCTGTATTGTTTGAAAAAAGAAAACTCAATTTAGATCCAAAAAGATAATTTTATTTCTGATAAATAAATCTACTTAAACCAATCTGTACGTTATAACGCTTGCATAAGATTGAATTAAGTCTGTTGAATTTACACGTACTGCCAAAGCATCCATAGCTCCGAAATATCAAGTTTCGTTTGTAATTACGCAATATTTTTAATATTATTTTATTTCAATGTATTTGTTTTTAATACTCACAAAAGAATACTAAAAATTATCAAAGTTCACATAGCATTGTTTGTCTAGAATATTGTTTAATACTCAGTCAAATTGTTTATATACCTTCTTCTATTAAAACTGTGAAAAGATGAGCTTTTGGTGGTAACAAATTTACACTCTAGATCTAAAAAAATAATCATAACAAATAGAACATAATATAATTATTTATTTCATATTATCAATGTTACAATATTACTATTTAAAAAAAACAATGTCAAGCGACGTATAATGCAAAGTTGTCGAACAAAAAAAAAAAACAAAACATTGTCAAAATACATACTTTTTTTTCGGGTCGTTTAAGTGTTTTAAAACAAAATAAAGTTTATCAATCTTTAATTAGCATACTTACGTGCATCTGTCGATAACTGTATTAGACGTGAATTATAGAATTGATGAAAACAATAATATTCTGTCTGTACATGTGAAATTACAGGCACTTATCAACGTATGTCTCATGGTGAAGGGCGCTATGGCAGTGCCCCTCAGATCTTTGCGATTAAAACTATAAGTGGCATTGCAACTGTTATGGACAGACGTGTAACTTACCACATTACTTGGTATTATAAAAAAAATGTAGACAGTGAACTACCAGATGGCAGGTGATAAAGGTGAATGAATGGAAAAGAAATATTTCTGGATTGTGATGAATGACAGAAATATCCTCTTCCCTTTACGCTTGTACATCAGAGAAAAACAAACTGTAAGACAATTCCATATGCCTGCAATCAATTTAGATAAGTCCGTTCATGGTTTATCAATACTCTAATATGCTAAATTTCAGCGTGCGTAATAATTTAAAGTATGTTTTGTACTATTTCAGATGAACCAAAAGTGCAAAGTTTGCGGGGAGCCGGCGGCCGGCTTCCATTTCGGCGCGTTCACTTGCGAAGGATGCAAAGTAAGTTGAAATAATCTCATCTGATTTACACTTTATTGGTAGCGTGAATAGATATTTAACACCAAGTACAACCACACACACGTACATATGCACGCACAGAACATACAATAGAGAACCAAAACAGCGGACAGTTTTCTTAAAAACATCATAGAAGGAATGATCGATGGAAAGATTAGATCAGATAAAATAAAAATTAAAGCGCTGAACAAAGATGTTTGTCGATTACTCTAACGCCAAGACCATAGCTCTTAAATAAGAACATGAGAAGTAATGCGAACGACGCTTAGGTAATACGGAACGTCATCTTTCTTTCATTTGAAAATACCACTATTGCTTTACTCATTCTTTCCAAATGAGCTACTCATCTTATGGTGAATAGCTGTGTTTAATAAAAGACGGCTTCAAATCTAATTTGCTTACGTATGAAATTAAGATACTGTTGAATTTCAATTTAATGATCTACAGGATCAAGTAGATCAAATTTGATATGATAACTGTAAACGGGATAAACACTCTATCAGTTACACAGGATGTTGGTAGCTGCAAATCGTAATTGAAATTCTATCCTCGATGAAAAGTTGTATAGATAAACCAATTCTTAAACTTCTATTGCAATGTAAGGTCCACCGTAGGATACAATGCTAGAACTACTGCTACTAGAACAACCCAAGTACTTTCCACTAAGGGACATGAGTCTCCTATAAGTCACCCTGGTCTAATGCGGGTTCCCATGCAATAAGAGCCTAAATACGTTGAGAGTTTTGCGTTTGGTGAGTTGCGTCGTCCATCACCGATAACGATATTTTCGCTTTTATTGCATGGACTTAAAGCTTTTTCCGATTCAATAAATGTGGTGACTAACTTAACGGGGTAAACCTACTCTTGCGTGCAGGTTGCTTCACGACAATGATTTCAGTCCCCGTTAAATCAGATGATTATTAAATCTGAATCGAACAGTCTCAATGATACAGGCCTGGAATCAAACTTAAATCTCTTGCAGTTTAAGGAAGTATACTCCCAACTAAGCATACACAGCTGCTTTATCAGTGAAACCATTTCTAAAAACGCCCTTAGCCCTAGATTAATGGTGCTGTTATTTTGTAATGATACATTTCCTATCTTCTATTCTAAACTAGAGACCTTAATCTAAATATCACCAGTACATATACACAAACCTTAAACCAGTGTATCAAAGTCCATATTAGCATGAAAATAAAACTAATTATTAGTTATTAATAAAATAATTATGTTCATGTTCATAAACCTTATAACCAAATGGTTAGATTCACGTTTGTACAGAAATTGGTATTAAATAGATGGTTACCGAGTTCCAGGCGATACACTTGAACAATTCGATCGACTAGTTATTTTTTCCTCGTATTTGCATCGGAATTAACTAGATTCGAAATCTCGTTCGATTTCACCAATTATTTTAAACGGATTCCTATTATATCATAGTAATGGATCTGATATCAGATATTTATATTAACTAACATCCTTATGTTCCTACCTTCTTGTAATTGCAATTTTAGTTCAATGATATCAATTTGATTCTTTACTTACTTTTGACGCATTTTAAGTATGTGATATTAGACTGGAGTTTAAAATTAAAAACATCTTGAAGATGGCAAGGACCGAATTCACCGCTATTCAACTCCATAGCGAGCATAGTAAAAAGTTTTGGCTCCAGTAACCTTCCCTGGAGAACCCACTACAATGCGTCTCATATAATGTGACTTCGAATGTTATCGATTTCATTTAATTTATCAATTATGCAACATCAAAAGATAATTCCATGAATAATTGATTATTAATTAGTATTAATCAAGGTTATTGCCCTAAAAGTGAACAACTTGTCGCTTTTGATTCTTAATAGATAGAATTTAAGCGTTTCTAGTAGTACAGTTTTTGATAAAAGCTTTAAAATCAAGATATTGAACCGATATTTTTACTTCTCATGCTCGTATAACGTTATTTATGTTTCCATGCAAGCGGAAGTGTAACATTTTGAGGAGGCTTCGAAGTGTTTTGACTTTTTAACACTGAAGAAATAAATTAGAATCAGCCAATGACGCGACACATTAAAAATAACTGAACCTATACACTTTTAGAGCGACTTTACTCGATCATCTTTTCAATATTTTTGCCCCTGTGATATTTAAGTAAAGTTTTTTTTTTCACTAATTATTTTTAGACAAATTTCTCAAGGCCAACTTTTAGTCTAGTTCTTCATATTTTGAACTATACTTCGTATTAAATTAGATGAAATATCCGCGTCACTAGTAGTAGCCGCCACGCTAAAGTGTCGGACATGTTTCCCATCGTGAAAAAATTTATCAATCGGCGTAACTAATTTACCGATTGTAGCCCAGGGAACGCCAGATGTACAGAGGACATGAATAGTACGCCATCGCGAGTATGCTCCTTTCGTGACCTAATGACCAGACGCTATGACTTATATTCGTAAATGAAAAAAGTAGACTTATTTATTTTACTGGAGAATATTTGCTCTTGAAAGCTGAATGTGATTATAGATCTTCCAATCCAAAAAAAAATTTTAATACTACAGTAAGAGACGAGTGGAATGAAAGTGAACATTAATTAAAGAAAAGGAAAACTACGGCACTAAAAGAAAACTACGATGACCTCGATAGCCCAAAGCTGATAAATTTTCTGAATTAATTCTGATCTTTTTCTATTGTTTAAAGAGGGTTTTGTTCCAACGAACATGTCACCCTCATAATGACATACAAAACAAAAAAGTTTCAAAATTAAATAATTATCGTCTGTTCTTAAGTTCAGAATCCACTGCATTGTACAGCATCTTAGCCTCTCTCCTACTCGGAGATACCAATATACCGTTAACAACACCAATGTAATTATTTTTAATTTGTAAGTTAGACCTTTGAGACTCATTTACACTCCATAACTTTATGGTATATGTCTTCCAAAATTACCGCAATTACCACAATTTGGACTATCAAGTGTTCTCATCATAAATGTAAACATATTCAACAGTATTTGACCGGAACGTAGTGTCAAAGCTACAACCATGACTTTGGTCTGGATGCTGAAAATAGTGATACGGAGTGAATTCCGTTGCTAAGTTTGCTCATAGTACAGGAAATTCCTAATTCAAATCCAGGTAACTGGTGTATTGTCTGTCAGTAAAAAAGGTCACAAAAATTTACTTTTGGAGACCCTTAGTCAACGAAGAGAAGTTGGCTCTCTGTGTCTGTTCTACCGTCTTTATAAAGAAGAGTGCCCAGAGAAACTTTTCCAACTGGTGCCACCGTCTCGTTTCCACCATCGCACCTCCCGCCAAAGGAGTAAAGCCCATCCCCACATCATAGATGCCTGGCATTGTAAAACCACGCGGGTATTATGTTAATTCTTTCCTCGAAACTGCAAGATGGGAAAAGATCTTCCCTCTGAAGTATTTCCTTTGCCCTATAACGTAGGATTTTTCAAAAAGCATATCAATAGGGCTCTCAAAGGCTGACAACGTATAGGTAGCTCATCTGATGTTGCAAATGTCCATGGGCGACGATGACAACAACTTGTTTGCCTCCTACTTTCCAAAAAAGATACTCACGGCTTTATATTCTGCTTGGGATAGAAAGCCCATAGCTTTTTTGCACGATCCCGACAAACCTCGCTTCATTTACATTGATCAATCTTTTTATTAAAGCCCTCTTCTTCTTCTCACTACGTACTCCAGCTTTTTTAAGACCATTCTCGATTTGATTTAAAATTTATTTGAAACATATTATTAGATTACTTTCTTCCCAATTCATGTAAACCAATTTGTTACAGTAGAATTTATAATACTACACAAGCTATTTAACAGGTGAACAGCTTGATACTTGTGAAGCTAATTATCTCCGTGTTAAATGAATCGTTTTACACACTTGTCGAACAGTCTACAATTTAACCGTGGGGTTAAAATGCTGATATCATACGTCTTTTTATTCACTGCGTAGCTGTTGTATAATTCTTGACGAGGAGGTCCTGGGTTCGATTCCCGATGAGACGGTTTTCTAAAAAGGTTTTGGTCTGAGCGTTCTGGGTAGTACCCCGGTGTGAATTTCGTTCCTCTTAATTTGTGTTTGTCTATGTGTATGTCTATGGCACCCGCGATACAGAGTTTACTAGTGCGGGACTTGAGCGTGTGCGTTGTTTATTTATTATTCAATACTCAATACATTATTGCATTCCCAAAAGTTTACAATTTTAATATTTATTTATTATTCCCTAGATCGAGTTATTTGCCTCATTATTATTGTTATAATTTTTACTTGTAAACATCAAACGACAATATTAAGGACTTTATATGTTATAAAGAGAACGAAAACTACATCAGTAAATTTTTTTTAGTACCGATAATTTAAAAAAAACAAAATTCTAATCCTTAATACCTACAAAGTTACAGTAATCAGCGAAATCGGTATTTCTCGTAAACGTCCATATTATTTCGTCACTATAACGAGTTGAATCGTCGCGAATTGTCGCAGAGCAAGTGGAACAGAACGACAATGGGTGTCGCAAGACGGCGACCGGGGACCGACCGGCGCAAGCGCAGGATGCGACCTGCAACATTGACCTAGTTGTATTACCTGTATTTAGATTTCGATTTGAAATATAAGACATAAAACTGTAATGTAAACAGGAAAACGAACTTATGAACTACACTAAATCAACACCCATACATATGACATCTTGATAACGATTTTCTTCTTTGTTGTGCCAATTTGGAAAAATTCATTCCTTTCTTGTACGTCTGGCGCACCCTAGGCAACAATTGGCGAGCACCTTATGCCGATTGTCAAATCCTTCCACCACGATGGCAAGCGCTAGTGTAAGCCATCGTTACGATAAGAAGAAGCCCAGTATCAGATACCCATACCTTCTCATGTTACGCCCAACAATAATATCTGCTAATCTCTAAGTCACCAATATCCAGTTCAAACTGGATTGGCTATAAATCAATTGCATACTCG